ACAGACTTCTTCCAGGAAATGCTCCGATTGTGCCCAAACACAAGTATGGCCTGTAATTTCAGAGTACACAAAGCCCCTCAAAACCCCTCCACACCCTTGGATCCAAAGCCTACCTTCCTCCATAGAACCCACAGAGTGGCTTGGGCCCCGCAGGGCACCCCAACGTTTGCCTGGCTTGCCTCATTTTCTGGTGCTCAACGGATACTTTTCTGTCTGCTTCTGTTTGCACTTTTGTGGGGTTTTGGGAGCTGAGGCATTCTTGAACAAGCCAGGGGACACTTACAGTTTGTGTGGTGACTGAAGGTGAATGTAAACGGAAGTGTGTCCCTGTGATAGGGGCCCTAGTGGGGGAGAACGGAACGATTCTCCTCCCACGGATTCCAACGCCCCTGATGTCCATGATGGAAGGGGAAGGCGGGAAAAGACCAGGATGCTTGACATTCAAGCACATGGTGACTGTGGAAGGAATTTTACAGAGAATCACTCATGAGCCGAGCTTGTAGAATACCAAGCATCCCCTCAGAGAGGCCTGCCATCCCTGGCTGAGCAATCGGGGCGTGGAGCCAGGGCAGAAACCACAGCCTGTAACATAAGTCTCCAGCTAGATTTTATCACTTCAGAGGCTCTTTCCTCCTCCTGAGGTACTGTTTTCTTTCCTTAGAGGACAGAACCAAATCCATGCAGACAGAACAGCAGCGACAATCCATTGGGGCCTTTAGCCTCTGAGCTAGACTTTACCCCTCAGAGGCGCTTTCCTGCTCAGTTGTTGGTGTTCACTGCTACCAAGTAATTCTAACTCATTTATAGTGACTTCATGTGACCGACTAGGACTGCCCCGTAGTCTTGGTGTAGCGCTGTAGGATAAGCACTGGACTACTAACTGCAAGGTCGGCAGTTCAGACCCACCAGCCGGTCCTACCCTATTCTGAGTTGCTGTGAGCTGGAACTGATGACACCCAACGACAACAACAATCTCTCTAGAACACAGCCCTGGTGGTGTAGTAGTAAGCACTTGGTTGCTAACCAGAAGGTCCATGGTTTGAAGCTTTGGCAATCCTAAGGGGCAGTTCTGTACGGTCCTGTAGGGTCGATGTGAACTGAAATCGACTCCTCAGAATGGAGTTTGGTTTCGGTTTCAGACTCTCCTGTAGCTGCCAACTGTGCCACCAGGGCGCCTCTCTCCTCAAGGTGTCGTTTTCCTTAAGTAGTGGAAATAATCCAAAACCAGACAGAAGTAGCAGAAAAGATCAGCTGAATTTGGTTAAGGAAGTGTTTTCTTCCTTCGCTTTCGCTTTGCCATTTACAGTAAAATGAAATGAGCAGAATTCTCATGCAGTTTCTATTCATTAAAAACAATTGCAGAACAGAGTTACTGACCACTTCAGCTTTTCACAATGACTTATAAAATGCATGTTGAACACCAACGTGCAATTTGTTTGCCTCATGAGAAATAAACTTTCAGTTCTGGTAAGCTAGGAACTTCTGATGAGTTTCAATATAACAAAGGCTAATTTGTGAGAAATGAATTTCAATATATAGGGTAAGTTAAAATTGGAAAAAAAACCCCAAAACTGCTGCTATGAGAGAGTTCCAGTTTATGCATGTATTGGTTTATTCCAAACAAAAGACAAAAGTGCCTAAGCATGCCTCTCAGATCAGTGGATGGATGCAGACAAGCTCTCGGACACACTGGTCTGTCTCTCTAGGGGGCCTTCCTTAAAAAGGTCCAGTCATAACAGTGGCTTCCAAGTAGATCCGTGGGCCAGTCCCATTCAAAGCACAGATTTTAGTTTGGAAAGTTATGGTGACTGTTTGGGGGATAGTAAGGGGATCATCTTGATTTTCTCAGAGGACACAGGATGATTACAAGGGCTTATTCGGAAAAAGTTTAAGAAACCTGAAAATTACCTTGGTAAGAAAAGGGCAGGAAAGCTGCACTGAGGAATTTGTTCCCATCGCCACAGTGCACATCTGCATCCTTTGAGGGTAGCAAGGCCTGTCGGACAGGAATTTTGTTAGGAACCGTTACCTTATCCACCCTACAGCTCTGACTTTGGACTTGTTCCCCAAACTCAAAGGAGATTGAAAACTAACTTAATTTGGGTCCTTTGAGGATAGTGACATTACCATTTGATGTGGTGCAAATCACCGAGCTCAGAATTCTTCAGGGAAGAGTTAGAGAGATAGAAACACCCCCTTCAAAAGTGTACGCTCATAGATACAAGCTATGTTGAGAAACAATAGCTTCCCATTGTGATATTTTTGTTTAATAAAGGTCTCTATGATTTTGTAACTGCTTTAAAATTTATGCTAGTACTTTATTTGTAATGTCCATGCAATGGACTCTGAAATCGATATGTTCAGCGTCATTCTGACTTCCACCTACATTTTGTGTCTCTAGCTACTCAGTAAACATTTCATCTTGGAAGTTTTGTCATCTCAAACTCACTTTACCCAAAATGTAACCTACCCATGATTTCACAGGCCATCCCAGCTAACAGGTCTAATAGCAGGCTTGGTGCCTCTGTCCTGCATCTGAGTTTCATGTGGAGTGCCTGGGGTTTTAAAAGCTTGCAGGTATTTATCTCTATTCACCTGGAGCAACAGGGGAAGGAGGAGAATCTGGAATGTGGGCTAATTGCCTTTATGAACAGTGACCTCTTTGGTCATGAGACCAGAAGAACTGGATGATGGCCAGCTATCGTCTCTGGACATTTTGATCCAAGAGTTTTTAGCAGAATCTTGATGAAAGGGGGAAACTGGAGAACAGAAAAGTTCCAATTTTCATGGGCTCCAGACTTTCTGTAGGCACAGAGACTAGAAAAACCCACAAAACTCTTGTTGCCCTGATACAATCTTCAGGCCTTAAATCAAAAATATCTCTTGAAGTTTAATTGAAACTAAATAGTCTTACTTAATTAGTAAAAAATGTCAGCCTTCAAAAAATGTTTTTTCTTTGAATTTGTATTGTTATTGAATTTACACAGCAAAATGTACAGTTGTTTCTGCATGTATAGATCAGTTTCACTGATGACATTCTCGTCACCTTTTCTGAGCTCTTCCTCCATTAACATAAATGCACTGTTCATTAAGGTTCCTATCTGATCTTTTAAGTTGTCACTTAGAGACAGTATATTGTTGTTAAGCGCCATCTAGTTGGTTCTTGGAGTCCTGGTGCGGCGCTGTGGATTAATGTGCCAGATTGCAAAGCCGTTTGAACTACAAGGTCAGTGGTTCAAGCTCACCATTCGCTCCTTGGGAACCCTATACAGGGTCGCTATGGGTCGGAACCGACTCGACAGCACTTAACAACAACAGTTAGTTCTTACTCAGAGCAACCCTGTATAGGGCTTCCAGGAAGAGGCTGGTAGGTTCGCACCTCTGATCTTGCATTGTAGATAGTTCTTAAAAGAGCCTAGGAGTCCTAGTGTGGCAATGTAGGATAAGCACTGGATTGCTGACACAAGGTCAGCAGTTCAAACCCACTAGCTGCTCCTTGGGAACTCTGTGCAGGGTCCCTGTGAGTTGGAACCTACCAGTTGACACTTCACAACAACAAAAGAGCACAATGCTTAAGTCAGACTTTGTTTAGTTTTGTTTTGTTTTTAAACTAGTGACTGCTCGGTTTCAAGAAGACTTAAGGGGGTATTTTTGATTTCAGATTTAAGAATTATCTTAGGGCATCAGTTTCAAGGGCTCATCCCCCTGCCATGGCTTCCAGAGCATGATGTCCAGAAAGGAAACGGGCTCAGAGAACCCAAACAATTTATGCTGCGGAGCTGGAAAGTTGAGATTTTAACTAAAGCCTTCTCCATCACACTGCCTCTCAAGAAAGAAATCTGCAAAGACTCAAAATGAGGGATTAGTCTCTTGCTATTTACATATCAGTGTCATTAGCATGTGTGTGTGGACCCAGAGAGTCTCATGTGCTTGTTTGGGTTGATTTGGGGGACAGGAGAGTACTAAGCCACCAGGGAGTGTGGCACAAGGCACCTGGGAAAACAAGGCCTCATGTACCTCCTTTTTTTAAAATAAACTAAAATATTAAATACTTTTTTATACCCTAATTTTATTCATTTCGTTATTGTTGTAGAATCACTTGCTTCTTAGCAATGCTGCAGACCCACTTGGTGGGAGCGCCTGAAATCAAATGTTTACAAAATTATAATTATCTAGTGGGGAAGCAGCTTTGTTTAGACAAGTATGTCCATTTACAGAGTATGTTGGTTGCCAACTCCAGACATTGCCAAGAAGCTCGTTGATTTAAAATCCTAAGAGCTGGAAAGGACCTTAGAAATGGAATTGAGGACACTGACGTCCAAAGAAATGCTATTTTCATTAATAAGAGCGAACGTTCCAGAACGCCCCAGCCACCCCAGTCCATTGACTAGTGCTTCACTTGGATTTTTTGAAAAGTTGACAAATAGACCAGAAGTAAATTTTATGATAATCTGTCTGGTTTCTGGAATCTTGGTGTGGTACTGCAGGATAATGCACTGGCCCGCAAAGTCAGTTTGAACCTCAGGGTCGGCAATTCAAACCCAACAACCGCTCCTTGGAAACCCTACACAGTCAGTCACTATGAGTTGGAACTGACTCAATGCACTTAACAACAACATCTGGCTTATATAATACGGATTTCTATCGGTCAAAATTTTTCACTTTTAAAACTTAGCTCTTTATGAGAACAAGAATTGATGGACTACAAATTGAAGTTTTTCCACAAACTGATGCAGCATGGAGGCACTCGCTCATCTACGCCAAGACATTTGGTGGAAGATAGCTACCTGGCCAGTTGATTGGAAAAGATCCCTAACTGTGCCCATTCCAAAGACAGGTGACCCAACGGAATGTGTAAGTCATCGGACAATATCTTTAATACCACATGCTAGCAAAATTTTGCTACAGATAATTCAAAAACGGCTACAACAGTACCTTATGAGAATAAGCTTTAATCTCAAATCCCAACTAAAGTGTTTGTTTTCTTTTTCTAGATGTACTGATGCTCCGCAGCCCTTTTCTAAGTCTGCACCTTTCTGTGTCTGTGGCTCCCAGAACTGGCTAAGAAATGGAGGAGCCTCAGCCAAACACTCAGAATGCGACAAGCCCAGAGAACAATGATCCTCTCCACAGCACCAGCCCTCAGATCTCTGTCAGTGAGTTTTCTTGCCACTGCTGTTACGACATCCTGGTGAACCCAACGACCTTGAACTGTGGCCATAGCTTCTGCCGTCACTGCCTAGCTTTATGGTGGGTGTCTTCAAAGAAGACAGAGTGCCCGGAGTGCCGAGAAAAATGGGAAGGTTTCCCCAAAGTCAATATTCTCCTCAGGTAATGCTCAGCCTTACCTTGTACAGCTGTGTTTGAAAAGGCCCAAGGTGTTAAGCTGACATGTCTGGCCATTCTCGATCTTCTAGAATGTGAGTCAGAGATCGAGGATCTGAAAAGCCAGAGTCCCTTCCTCACAGGTGGCTGTAATTGGTTTGCTTCTTGGTTATTCTAAATAAAGGAAAGAAAGAAATTCTGATCATTGCTTCAGTAAAACACTTTTTACTGATTGAGATTCACTGACAACATTCTACATCTAATAGAGAAAATGGTGTAACTGGAGAATTCTGAACAGCTGGTTTGATGCTGATCTTTCACCCTTTGGATGAACTCTGTTGCAGTGATCACATCTGAAAGTGATGGTTTCTCATGCATGGCATCCCACAGCAAAGGGCCAGAGCTCTCAGATGACCAGAGCTTTTCAATTTCCATACCCTTGCGTGTTCCTGTGAGGACTTGGCTCTGAGAACCTGGTCTTCATTTTTGTTGCCCGAGCAATGTTTGCTCCACCTTCCCGGTACAAACGGGGAATCCAAACGTTCCATGACACTGTTAACCTAACAGTTTGTTTTTCACAGGCAATGTGTTTGTTTGTAAGCTACCGTCAGCAATGCTTTATCTGAAGGTGGATCTTAAATTGCAGGGGATACTTTGCTTGTATAATTGAAAATGAAAACCATCTCAAGGGTTGGTCTTTCTCTCACTCTTGAACTTCATGTGGTTTTTAAAATAGCTTACCAGCAATACCTATGCATGTCCGACATTCGTGTTGAGTAAATGGAACAGTGCTGAGCAAGCTGAAGATTCCTTTGACCTTTCCTCTCCACCTTTCTTCTCCATCTTAGAACCTTTTCCCCAGAGTACTTTTTTTTTTTATTTTTTAACTTCTGGTTGTGAATTGGGCAAAGGTTTACAGAGTACAACAGTTTTCGCTTGACAATGCATACACATGTCCCAGAGTAATTTTAGTTATGACTCAGCTATGGAATGTGGATTTATATAGGTCATATTTTTTACTTTTCCAACTTAGCACTTCATGAAAATAGCAGTAACCTCAAATGCCAACTAAATTGTTTGTTTTCTTTTTAAAGATTCTTCAGAATCTTTACAATTCTCTTAGGTCTACATGTGTGCCAATATAAGATGGAAACCTGAGGGGCTTTGAAAAGCCTGTGGAAAAATTCCGGTATCTTTTCATTACATTTTTCCATGAACTTTTTGAAGGCTCCTTGAATTTACTCATGTCTGTGGTATGCCGTCAGTATGTTTTTCTGGAGTCTCGTATTTTCATTCACAACTGCTTATGTCCTTGATTTATTCATCTTGATGCTTAGTGATCAGAGGAGTTCATGTTTTAATTTATGTAGCATTACACTGAGGGAATATAGTATCTTTACTAAATTTCATTTAGTTGTTTCCTTAACAGTGGCCATCTGGGTTGTTTCTGCTTTATTGCTGTTACCAACAGGACCCTAATACCTTTTTGTCCATTCTTAAAATATGCTTGTATGTATTTAAACTGTGCCTGCTACATTTCATTTCAGCCTCTAAACATGATAGAGGTCCTAGTGTGGCATAAGCACTGGACAGTTAACCGCCATGTTGGCAGTTCAGATCCACTAGTCACTCCTCAGAAACCCGATACAGAGTTACTGTGCGTCGGAACTAACTCCAACAGCAACCACACAAACAAAAGTGTGTGTTTAGCCAACCACCTTGTGATTTTGTCTTTTCCACAGGGATGCCATTGAGAAGTTATTTCCTGATGCCATTCGACTGAGATTTGAAGACATTCAGCAGAATAACGACATAGTCCAGAGTCTCACAGCCTTCCAGAAGTACGGGAATGACCAGATTCCTGTAGCTCCCAACACAGGCCGAGTGCATCAGCAGAGGGGAGGGGGCTTCTTCTCCGGAGTGCTCACAGCTCTGACGGGTGTGGCAGTAAGTTTACTTCTCTCAGACACGCACACACGCTGCCACTGGAGTCGGCTCTGTTAGCCTGCACTTCAACATTTGGTGACATGGCTGCATGCGGCAGTTCCCTGCGCACGTTGGCGTCTCTTGTGCTGAGTTCTTGAGGGATGTTGCTTACTCAAGGACCCAACAGTAATTGGAATCCATATGTGTTGGCTGTATCTCAGTTAATCCTCTTCATAACTTATAACTTAAGTGGAGTCCTCGTGCGATGCTGGAGGATAAAGCACTGGACCACAACGTTGGTTTGAACCACCAAGTTAATGGTTCAAACCCACCAGCTGCTCCTTGGAAGCCCCATATAGGGTCACTGTGAGTCAAAACTGACTTGAATGCACTAAACCACAACAGCAACATAACTTGTTTAGAAACCAGGCACCATTATCTCTCAAATGTTATTAGTTATTTTTATGCCAGCTATAACCAGCATCATTTTATTTAGGTATTTGTTTGCCTTGCCTTTCCCCTACATTAATATGTTATCTGCCATTTAGTGTAGAGTCTTGGTGTGCTATAGAATAAGCACTGGGCTGCTGACTGAAAGATTAGCAGTTCAGATCTCCCAGGCACTCCCTGGAAACCCTAGAAAGGGTTGCTATGAGTTGGAACTGGCTTAATGGCACTTAACAATAACACCCTCTAGTATGGCGCTGTAGGATTAGCACTGGACTGCAAACCACAAAGTCAGCAGTTCAAACCCATCTGTTGCTTCCTGGAAACCCTATATAAGGTTATCAGTCAGAACAAACTCAATGACACTTAGCAAAACAGCAGTAGTTAGTAACTTACTCTCCCTCTTCTCTCACATAATTAATTATTAGTGGATACTGTAGAGTTGATTCCAACTGACCGCGACCTCGTGTGCGCAGAGTGGAACTGCTCCCTAGAGTTTGCATTTCGGAAGCAGATCACTAGGCCTGTCTCCTGAGACAACACTGGGTTGGTTCTAACAGCCAGCCTTTCATCTAGTACCCGGGGCCTCCCCATTAGTAGGCCTAGTTGACAGTTGAGCAAACTAAAGGTGGTAGAGCTAGAACTGGAGACCACATCTGTCTTGGCGGTAGACTCTTCAGCTCTGTGTTGAGTCTCGTGTCACAGACGTAAAGGTTGGAAGTGCCCCAGTAGAACAGCTGTCTGAGTCCATTGTGTCGATGGGGTCAGTGGGTCATGCCCTGCCTCCACTCCCTCACAGAGAACTGTGTGTCCCAGCAGCACTCCCGTGGCAATGACGTAGCCTACGGCCATGTCCTCACCCCACCACACACGCACGCGTTAGGGACTGGCATTCCTGACCCGGCCGTGTCTAAAAGTCCCTGTCTCTCTTCCCCAGGTGGTCCTGCTTGTGTATCACTGGAGCAGCAGGGAGTCAGAGCATGACCTCTTGGTGCACAAGGCTGTAGCCAAATGGACGGCGGAAGAAGTGGTCCTCTGGCTGGAGCAGCTGGGCCCGTGGGCCTCTCTCTACAGAGACAGGTTTTTGTCTGAGAGGGTCAATGGCAGGTGAGGCGCAAAGTCTCTACACACCTTGCTTTCTGTTTCTTTCTCTAGACAGCTTTACTGAGATATCATTCACAAACCACAAAAGTCACCCTGTACAGAGCTCACCTCAGTGGTCTCTGCATCAGAACACACCTGGAGTTTCTGCGCTCCACTGTGTTTACTTTGCAGATGCCACGTTTCTTACAGACAGAAGAAGGTTTGTGACGAGCAAGTGTCTTGGTGCCAACAGCATGTGCTCAGGTCAGGGCTCTGTCACATTTCAGCCGTTTCACAGTAGTCCACACTTTTTCACACTGCTGCTGTGCACAGACTTGACAAAATGTAGGGTGAACCTGACTTCCATCTGCACTGGGAAACCAGGACATCGGTGTGACTCTATGTGTAGCACTATCCTTTATTGCAGTGGTCAGGAATTGAACCTGTGATAGCTCTGAGGTATGTCTGTATTCACACAGTGTATGGCCATTACTACAATCTAGGGCTAGAACACTGCCATGAAGCCAAAGAGCCCCTCGGTTTCGCTCCCGTAGCCTTCAGGAGCCACTCATCTACACTCTGTCGCTCTGGATTTGCCGGTCCTGGACATTCTATAGAAATGGAATCCTGCAACATACGGCTTTTCTTCAGCATCATGTTTTCAGAGTTCACACGTGCTGTAGCCTGTCACAAACAGAACTCCTTCGTTCCTGTTTGTGGCTGAATAATAGGACCTCGTGTGGGTAGATCCGATTCAGAACACGCATTCATCAGTGGAAGGAGCTCTAGTAGCATAGTGGGGTATGAGTTGGGCTGCTAACTGCGGGGTCAGCAGTTTAAATGTGTGAGCCATTCCGCAGGAGACAAGTGAGGCTTTCTGCTCCCATAAAGATCGACACCCTCGGAAACCCTATACAGGGTCACTGTAAGTCAGAACTAGCTCCACGCACACCACCATCCCCGCCAGCATTCATCAGTGGATAGATCATTTCGTTTGCTTACAGTCTGGCTGATATGAATAATGCCTCTGTGAGCAAGTCATCTAAAGGCATTTGTGTGAATATATTTCCGATTCTCCCTAGTGATGAAATGACAGGGCATATGGTACTGATGCTTAACTGTTTGCCAAACGGTTTTCCAAAGCAACTGCACCGTTTCTTGTCAGTAACATTTTCCTACTTTTGTTGTCGCTTCCTGATGATGGTAAAAGTTGCATGCACTGTTATTAAAAGAACAATAATGACACAAAACTGTAGAGTGTTGGCAGTGAAATATCCTTGACTTCTTACTCTTCAGAGAGAGCCACTGGCATGCCATCTCGCTGGTGTGAGAAATCAACAACTCAGAACAGTGCCAGCCGTCTGCCGAGCAGGCTTACTTGGTACCCTTCAAGTTGGCAGCACGTCTTTACCAAGAAACCCGCCGCCCCAGTGAATTCAGCTTCTCAGGGTTCTTGTGCGTCATCATTTCAGCAGGCGGCGTTAACAGGGGCACTAGGCCTGGAGGAGTCATCTCACACAGCTCTTTCCATACCCGTCAGATGCCAGCCCTCTGACACAAGATCTGAAGAGCAGACTGACTTTTAGAAACAAGCCCAGCATTGTAGTCCCATCTGCTCTGATGACTTGCTGTGTATTTTAAACACAGGGTCAATGCCGGATCTGTGACCCAGAAATGTCCTGCTAGACGAGAACTGCCCCTCCCACCCTCAAATTGTGGCACCAAAACCTGTCTACCTAGCATGCACAATCTATGTTGTTTCTGCAGATCTAGAACTGCCGTGTCAAAGGCAGTAAGCCTTGGCAAACCTAGTAAACGTGAGGGGGCCTCAAGAAGTTTGTGAGAAATGCCGTGATCTTTTCATCCCATCTTTCCAGGGACTTTCTGAAGCCCCTCATACTCCCAAACAACCCACAAAACATTATCCGTTTCCACTGGGTGGGCCCATTTCTCTCTGCTGTCAGCAGTGTACTGGGGGGTTCTTATTGATGAATCCCTGAGAAGCTGGATTTGTGTTTTCTGATAAAAGGAGACACTGACTACTATTAATGTTCTACTGGACTTCCTTCTTATAAAAAGTCTGGGTTCCTTTCCGATCTTTTTTCTATCTATACACACTCCTCCCAGCCCCAAGAGTAATATGTGAGAGATTGTAGGGTATAGCTGCAAAATCTAAGACTCGAGTAGAACAGACTTGGGTAGGCCCTAGCCAAGTCGCTTTACTTCTAGGAGCTACATTTATCATCCACAGAATAGGTCTAACGCCATGCCACCCCGCTGCAGATTACTAAGTGCATTAGTATTTTCAGGTCGTCACTGGCAGGTCGCTAGTGTTTACCTGTCGGGTGTTATTAACAATGTCTCACCTGGGGTGGATAAGCTGGCATTCTGAATGAAGAACGTTGGCTTCTGCTGTGTGAACTGAAAACAGCACGCTTCTTCCGCTCCTCCCCAGGTTGCTTTTAACTTTGACAGAGGAAGAGTTTTCCTGTGCGCCATACACCATAGAAAACAGCAGCCACAGAAGAGTTATCCTCATGGAACTGGAGCGCGTCAAAGCACTGGGGGTGAAGCCCCCCCAAAATCTCTGGGAATATAAGGTGAGCTTTTTTATTTAAAAAAAAAAAAAAAAAAAAAGCTTGAAAACCCAATAATGCAGAGTAGGAGTTACTCTGCTTAGCCAAAAAGGACATACCTGCCCTTGTGGAAGGCGTGTCTCTCCTGCGGCAGGCGCTACCTGCCCTCCCGGACGTGCTGTGACTGAGTTCACAGCAAAGGAGCCAGTGAGCTCTGTAAAGGTGATGGCCAAGCAAGCCCTCCACGGCAGTCCTCCTCCTCGTCACATGAGGTCCATACGAGTTGAAACGGACACAGCAGCACCTGACACCACCACAACCACATCAATGTGTAACAGGCAAAAACTGAGCATAACCTACAAGTTGTTTTCTCCAAATTCACTCATTTTCCCCTGCATGCAGTATCCCATTGTGCAAGGAAGTACTTGACAGTTTGTGCCTTGTGTTGGTGGGAAGGAGTGCTGGTGGCGCAATCGTTGAGTGCTCAGCTGCTAACCAAAAAGTCCATGATTCAAGCCCACCAGCCACTCTCAAGGAACAAGATGTGGCTTCTGTAATGATGACAGGTTTGGAAACCCTACAAGGCAGTTAGGGTTGTCCTAAGAGTTGGAGTGGACTCGAGGTCAAGGGTTTGGTGTTTGTTTGTTTCTGTTGCTGGCCACCAAGGTGGTTTTCAGGTTTTGCCATTAGAAACAGTGCTGCCATCTGGAAAGACCCTGTGTGTACTAAATCCACATTTGACTGTGACAGCTAAAACACTCGGTTTTAATAGTGATTGGGTAAATTTATAGAGCAAATTGGTTGTCCATTCAACAGTTTGTACACATTTTCCTTCCTGACGTTGCCTGCAGTCCGCACAGTGTAATCGTACTCCGTCCACTACCTCCCTGTAGTTACTGTTTCCATTCGGGTCCGTCTTTCCTGACTTCCGAGCTTTGTTGTTGTGAAGTACCATCGAGTCAGTTCCAACTCATAATGACCCTGTGTTGGGTTTCCAAGGAGTGGGGGTGAGCTCGAACCATGACTCCAGGGCACATGCTGTCCTTTTGATCAGATAGGTTTAATTGTTCTAAAGAGTGTGTACCTCCTTTGGTGTTCTTGTTCCCCTGTAGGCCTATCTCTTGTTAGAATGAAAGGTGAACGATGGGGGTGAGTTCCATTTTAGGCCTGAAGAGTGACCAAGGGCCATTAGTCTCAGGAGGTTCATCCAGCTTCTGACAGACCAGTTAGCCTGACCTTTTTTATGAGTTTGAGTTGGTTCCACTTTGTTCTCCTGTTCTGTGTAGGGTCCGTGATTGTGCTCCCTGTCTTTGAAAGCGGTCGGTCAGCAGTGGTCGGTGGGCACTGACACCATCACTTCTGCTGGCCTCAGGGTCATAGAAGCTGGGGTTCACCAGGCCCAGTTGTCCTGTGGATGAACTGTCTCCATGTGGCTTTGATTTTTGTCTCCCTGCTTTGATTTTTTATCTTTTTTTTTTCAATCTGATTTTTTATCTCCCTTCTTGGATTTTTATCTCCTTTCAAGAAGAGTCCAGTAATTGTACCTTAGATGAGGGCTCACAAACTTTCAAGTTTCCAGTTGCTACCCACCAACGTAGGCTCTAGAACGTTGTTTTTATGGACTGTGTTATTGCCAGTTGACCTTGACGTGCCCGTGACCATGGTCCTAAGTCTCTAGTTCCAGTGACTCATTCCCTCTAGGTGTTTAGTTAGGGTTAAGAAGTTTATGTACCTTTGCCCTGATTGCTCTGTTATAAACATGGTTGTACCTAGAAATGTGTACATAGAAATAATCATCTTTTGCAGCTAATATTAACCTTATTGTGGCTTTTAATGTCTAGCAGGACATTTCTAGGCCACAGATCCAGCACTAGCCCTGTGTTGAAATTACACATAAGTTATCAGAGCAAATGGGAGTCCGATGCTGGACCAGTTTTAAAAGCAAACACAATGGTGTCATCAGTCTGCGCCTCAGATCTTCTACTTACCCGGACCCTCCAGGAGGGCTGCCATTTGATGATAAGGGAAAATCTGTGAGAGATTTCTCCAGCCCCAGTGTCTCTGCGAGACTCCCCAAGGGACTGCGGAACACTGCTGTCGTCACTCGGCACCTGGAAGCCGGGTCGTACTGAGCAGGGCTCCAGCCCCTCCTGGCTCACACAGGTGTGCCCTGGTGGCTCTCTGTGGTTTTCATTTGCATTTCTCTACAAACTAATGCCATTGAACGTTAGCTTTATCTTTGTCATTACCCATGTGGTGCCATAAGGAGCTCTGGTAGCGTAGTGTTTATGAATCGGGCTGCGAACCTGAAGGTCAGCAGTTCAAATCTACCAGCTGTTCCACGGGAGAAAGATGAGGCTTCTGCTCCTGTAAAGATTTACAGCTTCGGAAACCCCGTACAGGGTCACTATGAGTTGGAACCGACTCCACGGCACATAACACATAACAACAACAACATGTGGTGCTGTAGGATAAACATTGGACTGTTATCTGTAAGCTCGTCAGTTCAAACCCACCAGGAGCTGTGAGGGTAAAAGATGAGACTTTCTGTTTTCACAAAGATTTACAGCCTTGGAAACCCTATACATGGCTTCTATGGCTTGGTGGCAGTGGGTTTGGGTTTTTGTTGTTGTTTTTGGTTTAAGTGACATCCTTAAGGAGCCATAAGGTCAGTCGTTCAAATCCACCAGGTGCTCTTATCACTATGAGTCAGAACTGAATTCAGTGGCATACAAGGAGCCTTGGTGGTGCAGTGAGTTAAGCATTGGGCTGTTGACCATAAGGTCAGCAGTTCAAACCCACTAACTGGTCAGCAGTAGAACGATGAGTCTATTCCTATAAAGATTAACATCTCGGAACCCCCACAGAGCAGTTCCTCTTTGTCCTGCAGGGTCGTTAGGAGTTGGAATAGACTCCGGCACTGGGGTGGGTGACGGGTAATGATGTTGAGCATCTTTTAAGGTGCTGGCTTGCCATCCGTAGGTCCTCATTGGTATCATGTCTATTCAGTTCCTTTGCCCACTCTAATTAGGTTGCTCGTCTTTTTGTTGTTTAGGACAGCAGTTCTTTAAATAGTCTGGATATTAGACTCTTACCAGGTAAATTACTCCCCGCCCATTTTCTCTTCACTTTGCTGATCTCAGGAATCAATACATTCTTTGTATTAAAATCTGAGAGGGAGGAATATGAAAAGAAATTGCCCATATTCACCGGACTCAGGTGAACAGTGCATTTTGTCCTGTTTTCTTCAAGTCTATTTTCTGCGCACCTTTTGAACAGTACTCTGTGTATTTATCTGTTCACCAAACATTTCTTGGCTGTCTGCAGTGTGCTGGATGTTCCTCCAAGGGGAGAGAGTCCTCTTTCACGGGCCTGACACTGCCAGGACCATGGCCCTGCCCCTGTGACCCCTCTTCCACCTCACTTAGGAATCCAGGAGCATTAGTAAGAGCTCTGCAGACAGTTCCCAGTTGCTCTATTAACCATCTTCCAGGTTTCTTTACTCACTTAGGTCACTTGATTTCCACTTTTTCTTCTGTATTAGGGGCTTTTTTAAAGTTTGTGGAAAAATTCCATTTTTTCAGTATCTTTTAGAAGCACCCTGGTAGGCAGTGTGAGAATAACCCCGGGTGCGAACGGGCCGGGGAATCCGAGACTCGTTTTATCACCTGGAGCCCACTCCTTGAATAGCTAAATTACACATTTTCATGATTCTCTGATACGTTTTGTAAATTTGCTTTCAAAAAAGGTTATGTTCTACTAGGGCCTAGGAGTATTAACCCCAGCAATGGATGGATTTTAGATCTTTATACAATATACAAGGGGGCTTTCAAAAAATGTGGGAAGATCCCACAGTGATCTTTTTGAACCCCTCTTGTTTAGCCCAGTACAACAATAGCGTGGCCTCTCCATGTCATTCATGTATTCACACGTGTTCTTTCACAAACATGAGGAGACGCTGTGTGGCTGTGGTAGCACTGTGGGTGTTGCCGTGGTAATGTGGTCCTGTGCCCACCTCGTCCTCTGCAGGCCGTGAACCCAGGCAGGTCCCTGTTCCTGCTCTACGCCCTCAAGAGCTCCCCCAGACTTGGTTTGCTCTACCTGTACCTGTTTGATTACACCGACACCTTCCTACCGTTCATCCACACCATCTGCCCTCTTCAGGACGACGACTCCGGAGAGGACATCATCACCAAGCTTCTGGTAGGTCCACACAATGCCTGGGCTACGAGACGTCTTCCATTCCTCAGTGTGGGGTGGAGCTGGAGCTGCTCATGGAGGAACAAGTGACCACCAACCACGGCTAGCCGCCAGTAAAGGAAAAGTAGGACCATCCCCACTTCCAAACTGTTTCCTGTGCTGCTTAGCAAGAGAGGCTTCCCGCTGGACTTGAAGTATTAAAAGAAGACAGCATGGGTCTGGGTTGGCCCGGAAGGTTCCATTGATAGACCTCCCAGCTTGGTAATCTGTCCCTTATCAGAGTCCCCAAAGGTTAGAGTCTTGTCCTACCACAAGGCAGCATTCGAGTCCGTCCTGCAGGTCCCACCTCACTGAGAGCTGTACATCAGCAGACCACCAAGGCTACTCGTTGACACCTTTGGCCTTATTTCTTCAGGCTAACCCATCGACACCTACTGGTGGATCCTGTTCACTCAGGGTGATTTCTCTGAGTCTAGATGGTCACTGGGGAACGTAGTGGGTCCATATGATAAGCACTGGACTGCCAACCACAAAGTCCACAGTGTGAGCACACCAGCCACTCGCTCCACAGGAGAAAGAAGAGGCTTTGTGCTCCTGTGAAGATTTCAAGCCATGCAAACCCTACACAGGGTTGCTTTGAGTCGGAACCACGTTGACAGCACTTAACAATAAGAAGTTGGTCTCAGAAGGGTACTGTCTTTTGCATTACCACTCTTGGGTCAATCCTTCCAATCTGTTTGTATAAAAAAGTCACATAGAAAATAGAAATCACATGTGTAACCCACACCCTTAAGTATGTGAGAGGGCTTCAAAAAGTTCGTGGAGAAATTGAATTGTAAGATAATGGAATTGTTTTCATGAACATCTTGTAGAAAGAAATATTTTCAAATTGTTAAATAGCCCAGTATGTCCTTTTAAGAAAAGTTTTATATAATTTTGTATTTAATTCTGATAGTAATTCAAAATATAAAATTACATCCTAGCCTTCCCTAAAATCTGGATTTGGGGGTTACAGTATTAAGTATGCAAAAAGATAATTAGGTTTAGTACTTGGACACAAATCATTTTCATTTAACGATCAAAGCAAAGACCTTTTAAATTTTTTTTAAAAGCCAGTCATTGCTAGATCCAGATAAATGACACAGATTTGTGTCACTTTTATAACCCAACTTGATGGCACTTAACAACACCAACCAAAGTTAACATTTTACTAAAAGTATAGGTTTGTGTTGGTGAGTGCGAGAGTTGTTTCAGTAAAAAGTGCGTGTTGAAAATGATTCAGAAAATAGTCATTGGATCTACATTATGTACAAAATCTTCTATATAAAAAGAAAAGGTTATTTTCAGTGAAATTCCATGTTCACATTCCATCTGAAAAGTATACCACACTTGAAAGATAAATGGTGCTGGTGGTGGTGATGTGCCGTGGAGTCGGTTCCGACCCATAGCGACCCTGTACAGGGTTTCCGAGGCTGTAAATCTTCATGGGAGCAGAGAGCCTCATCTTTGTCCCACGACAAAGTTTCGAACTGCTGACCTTGAGGTCCTCAGCCCGACTCGTAACCACTACGCTACCAAAGCTCCTTTGAAAAATAGATAGATCTGCCTTACGGTTTCCTCTGAAATCATGCTAACGCAGCTTGTTGTTCAGAGCCACCATGTCAGTTCTGACCCACAGCGACTCAGTATAAGGTGTCCGAGGAGCGGCTGGTAGGTTTGAGCTGCTGACCTTGTGGTTAGCAGTCCATTGCTTATCCTACAGTGGCACACCAGGAGACGGCTTCAGACCCTTTTTTAAACAAGAGCCTGTCTAACTCACTTTAGCCTTGAATGGAGTTTCACTCTCCTCATGGCAAAGTATCCCAGTAACTACCTGGTTTCCAGTTACCTGCCCTCGCAGTTTGGGAGTACAGAGACCCCAGCCTTCCCCATGGCTCTGCCCACTCGTCAGAGTGACCGCTTTCCTGAACCCCCATCCCAGTCCCAGTGCACCGTCCTCTGGAGCTTCCAGCCCCTTGCATGTCCTTAGGCTCCCAGTTGCCTAGGAGATGCTTAAGGACTCTTAACTTTTCAATCGTCTCCCCTGACCCACAGGGGGATATGTGCCAAGATCCCCAGTGGATGCTGAGCCTCATAAGTAACACCGTTGATTCTTATACATACATACCTGTTGTTAAGTGCCATCAAGTCAGTTCCGACCCATAACGACGCTATATGGGTTTCCAAGGAGCAGCTGGTGAAGTTGAACCACCAATCTTGCGGTTCAAACCAACTCTGCAGTCCAGCGCATTAACCCACAGCGCCACACCAGGACTCTATACATACCTGTGAGAATGTTTAATTTCTGAATTAGGTACAGTAAGAGCTTGACAACAATAACCAATGATAAAATAGAGCAACTTTAACAATATACTGGACTCGCAGTCCCATGGGATGAAGTGAACCGGGTGACATCATCGTGTTAGGCTACTCTAGACTGAGGTTGACGGCTGGGAACTGCAACCGTGTTTCAAGTGGGGGGGGCCGGGGCACTGTACCATCAGAGTTGTGGGAAGAGATTTTGTGTGTGTGTGTGTGTGTGTGTTTACGTTTCCCCACAACTACTACCAGTGGCATCTTGGAAGCCCTATAAAGGGCCACTGAGTCGGAACCAACTCGACAAAACCAACAGTCACTATTCTGGAGTCCTGGCATGGTGCTGTAGGATCAGCACTGGACTGCTAACCACAAGATTGGTGGTTCAAATCCACCAGCTGTTCCTTGGAAACTCTATATAGGGTAGGTATGAGTCAGAACAGACTCAGCAACACTTAATAGCAACATCACTATCCTGGAGTACAGGTATAGTGCTGGAGAGTAAGTGCTGAACTGTTAACTGCAAGGTTGACAGTTCAAACCCACCAGCTGCTCCTCAGGAGACAGATGAGGCTTTCTACTCCTGTAAGGATTTACAGCCTTGGAAACCCTGTGCAGGGTCGCTATGAGTTGGAACCGACTCCATGGTCGTGGGTTTTTGTCACTATCCTACAACAGCTAAAGTATTGAATGTAGGAAACGGTTTGAGCTACCTGTGCTGTGATGAAAGGAGCCCTGGTGGCTCAGTTGTTAAGTGCTCGGCTGCTAACTGAAAGGGTTGGCAGCAGTTTGAACCCACCAGCCGCTCCATGGAAGAAAGATGTGGCAGTTTGCTTCCATCAGGACTACAGACTTGGAAGCCGTCAGCAGCAGCTCCACTCTGCCCTCTAGTGTCAGTGAATGGAATCAGCAGCCGTGGAGGCTGTGGTGAAGAAGCTAAAAAACAAAAGAAACAGATTTCAGCTCACTTCAACCCCATTCTCTATAACCTATGCTTAGATTTTTTTTTACTTCTGAGCTTCTGTGACCATTTATCTTTGCTACTTCAGATTAATTATTCCAAGAAAAGTTATATTCCAAGAGGAGAGGACAGATAATGGTTCTTGATTGTTGGAGAGAAAGTGTGCGTATGAGTGAGAAGATGTGGAACGCCCCTCCTGGGATGAGCATTCGCCTGGGTCCGAGTCACCCGTCCTGAGCTGTGTGTCTGTGTGTTGTCCTACAGGACCTTCGAGAACCCACGTGGAAGCAGTGGAGGGAATTCCTGGTCAAATACTCCTTCCTCCCATACCAGCTGATGGCGGAATTTGCGTGGGACTGGCTGGAAGTCCACTACTGGACGTCCCGGTTTCTCATCGTGAATGCCATGCTGCTCTCCGTCCTGGAATTGTTCTCCTTCTGGCGGATCTGGTCAAGGAGTGAGCTGAAGTAAGTGTCCCCGTGGGAAAATCATGACACCACAGGGAGGAGGGGCCTCTTTAGATGTCTTGCTTCAAACTTGAAAAAATCCGTAGTTTACCAAAACTGTCCACGGTTCTCATTGAAAAACAATACTAACATGGCACCCAGGAAATCTTTCAGCGTTTGGTGTGGGTTGTTTATTCGTTTGTTTTTGTGGTCTTCACTGTTGACGTTTGTCCCTCATTTTCTCCCTATGTAATGATCCATAGGGATACGTGTCGTTTCTAGGGTGTGGTGTGAGGGTGGTACTGAAGGAATATGTGAGAAGGCAGTCGCTTATGGAAAACAAGCATTCCATCAGGAATTCGGCAGGCTTGAGTTCTAATCCTGCCCTGCCACCAGCTGGGACTGTAATTGCTTGTCTGGACTCAAGCATAAAATGAGCGAGTTGGTTTGTCTCTGAGCCAGGACTCTTGGCTACAAGTGACAGTCTCAATCTAGAGTGAGTCTTAACAGGAAAGGACCCCCCAGTTTGGCCTACAAGCTTCCTGGCTCAGCTCTGGCCTGGGCCCTTGCTCAGCCTCACTTGACCCTGCAGGTGGGGTTCTTGGCTGTTCTAGGGAAGAAGGGAGCATTTCTCCCCCCATTGCACTTACAAAGGGCTCAGGGCTTGCACTCCTTTGATTGGTCTAGCCAGGGTCACATGATCCTTTCACCAGGAATCTACAGGGCTCTCCTCATCCAGCCTCCAGTCATGTGTTCCCCACACACACAACCTGTGGCTGACTTCGGTCCCACCCAGACCATATAGAAGGAATAGGAGAGGAGATGCTGTTTCTAGAGGCCGGGCTGGCTGCTGGCCAGGCAGAAGTAACACCTTCACTAGACCAGATTCCTTTCAGGTCGAAACACCCCGTTACCCACAGAGTTCCTTGCCTGGCCCATCAGAAGCAGTCTCTCCATAACTCAGAGCCCAACAAGAATCTCCTAATTGACTTCAGTTCCACAAACTCACTTCATTGTGCAGGCCACACTCTACACCTGCCGCTGGCTGGGCACTAGAGATTTCTCTCAGTAGGACAGTCTGGACCCTGGGGGCTTGCAACCTTGCTGAGAAAATCCCTAGTTTGAGAAATGCTCAGAAGCGGGACCCTGCTGTGAAGCCGGTAAGGGACTTGTGCTCTGAGGGAGCACCCCTGGGCTTTATCCCAGAGGGAGGTGGTAGGTCAGGCTGAGGGCACAGGAAGACAAGTTGTGTGCACAGACCCTTGGAGAAGGCCTGGGGGGTGGGGGGAGGGCGGTGTGGTCATGCTGCCACAAGTACACACCTGAAAAGCTTCGCTTCTCTTTTTAGGACGGTGCCTCAGAGGATGTGGAGCCATTTTTGGAAAGTATCAACGCAGGGCCTTTTTGTGGCTATGTTCTGGCCCCTCATTCCTCAGTTTGTTTGCAACTGCTTATTTTACTGGGCCCTGTACTTTAACCCAATTATTAACATCGATCTCGTGGTCAAGGAGGTCCGACGGCTGGAGACCCAGGTGTTGTGACTGGCGGTGCCTTGGCTCCAAGTGACTGTAGCCTGCCTGCCATCTGAGCTGAGGGAGGAAGTAGAATTCCTATTTTCCACCCCTAGTCAAACAAGGTGCTGCTTTGTATGTTAAAGGCGACAGCCAGATCCTTTGCCCTGGCCAGTGGCCTGGTGGCAGTGGGGACTGGCATCCCAGAGCATGTGCACTGGCTGTCCGGCCAACGCAGCAGCACAGCCTCACAGGAAATGGACAGCTGGCAGGGGAGTCTTGGGGCCCTCAGAGGCCACGGGCCCCCTTGCCCTAACTTTAGCATCCAACTGAGGCTCCCAGGGTGAGATGGAACCCAGAACTGAACCCACGACCAGGTTTGTCCTGTAAGTCAAGTTTAGGAACTGGGAAAAAGATCCTGTCATAGGAATAGACGGCTAGTTACACAAAAAATACCAAGGAAACAACATTGATCGGCAGTTGGTCTGAGTGAAGACGTGCTTGAAGATGGGCGCAGCTGGAGACCTGCAGCACGGTCTCTACTTGTAATGACTGACGTTTGGATCCATTTCTCTGAGTAAGGGGACAAAGCAGGATACGGGTAAGCTGATGCCAAAGGAGTTCTGGCGGCGGAAGATCAGCCACGTCGCGGAAGAAAGCTGTGGAAATCTGCTTCCTGAAGATGATAGCCTTGGAAACCATGTGGGACAGTTCTCCTCTTTCTCTGGGTTGTTACGAGTCCAAATCTGACTCAGCGGCAAAGGGTTTAATTCACAGCAGGCTCAGCTGCCTCACTGCTACCTTAAAATTATTTTGTTTTGTTTTGAAGATTTATTCTGTAAAATAAATCCCAGGACAGCTCTTTTCCAGGAAACATTTTGTAAATTGACCTTACACTGTCTGCCTTCACTGTCCTGTTGTGGTAATTATAATTACCAAGTGCTGGACTTGTACACACAGAGCGGCTGGACGGGAACCCTGGCCTTCTACTTCCTTCAGTGGGACAATGGCAGATGTAAACACACTCTCTCAGTAGACTGGCCCTGAAGAGAGAAAGCTTGCAGCCAAAGGGTTTTTGTAATACCCCTGAACCATTCACTGGTCCTTTGTGTCTTTGAATGAGGTATCTGTCATACTTTGCATCTGAAAAAGTTTGAAGAAATTACTTGAGATAAAAATAAAGATTTTTTTATATGTATACAGATTCAGACTTCTCTGATCCAGAGAAAAAATGACTGTGTAGAAAAGTCTGTCAAGTATAATTGTGGTAGTCAGGCTCACATCCCCCAAACCTGCTGTGGCTGCTTGCCAAGGGCCCCCCAGTGAAAGAAAGGAGGGAGGAGGGTTTTCTTCCACCTCATGTAGAGTAGTGGTTACGAATTGGGCTGCTAACCTCAAGGTCGGCAGTTCGAAACTACCAGCTGTTCCACGGGAGATAAATGAGGCTTGCTTTCTGCTCCCATAAAGATTTACAGCCTTGGAAACCCTGTGCAGGGTCGCTGTGAGTCGGAACTGACTCCACGGTACTTAACAACAACAACATGTTTGCTCAGTAGACCCCCAAAGGCTGCCTGGCTGGACGTGTTTAACTCACATTTGAGTTCTCTAGTGTTGCCACGACAATTACCACAGTGGGGGCCTTGAAGAAGCAAATGTATCCTCTCACAGTTTAGGGGACTAGGCTCTAGGGGGAGGCTCTGGAGGAAGGGCCTTTGCTCTGAGCTTTGGCTCCTAAGAGATCCTCCTGTGTCTTTACACCTCCTTTCCCCCACCTCTGCCTACTCGCTAATTTAATCTCTCTAATGTGCCAGACTGCAAAGCCATTTGAACTGCAAGGTCAGCAGTTCAAGCTCACCAGCCGCTCTTGGGAAACCCTATACAGGGTCGCTATGGGCCGGGATCGACTCAACGGCACTTAACAACAAAACCTGCCCCACACTAATCCTGCCTCATTCATGTCACAAAGGCAGTCATTCCCAAAGGGGAGGAGAACCACAAGCATAGAAATGAGGGTTTGCCACACATATTTTGGGGTGGGGCCCCAACTAAAGCCCTCACAACACACCTGACCCTGGGCTGTACTGTGGTTACAAAGCCCCAGTCTAATGCCCCCCTTCCCCCTCACTCCCTGTCTTCCCACACACTCCACCCTCTCCACAAGGATACACAATACTCTTGCTGCCCTGACCTAAAGCAAACATGCTGGGCTCTCTTTATCACCAGCAGGAGGGAGGCAGGCCCAGAGGAGGACCACAGGCTCGGGTGTGTCAAAGGGCAGGGTGTCAATTGCAAATATTCAAACCCTTTGATCTAAATCTGGAGTAAGGAATAATTTACTCTCTAGACTTCTTAAATGCTCTTGAGTAGATTCCAATCCATAGCGACCCTGCACAGGGTTTCTGAGGCTGTAAATCTTTACCGGAGCAGAAAGCCTCATCTTTCTCCTGTGGAATAGCTAGTAGTTTTAAACTGCTGACCTTAAGATTCGCGGCCCAATTTGTAACCACTACGCTACCAGAGCTCAATTCTGGCCCATAACGACCCTGTATAGGGTTTCCAAGGAGCAGCTGGTAAGCTTGAAGTGCCAACCTTGCAGTTCAAACTGACTTTGCAGTCTGACGCATTAGCCCACAGCACCACACCAGGACTCCTTACTGAAGCAATAATTGCTAAAACTTTGAAAACAGCCCCAATATCTAAAAGTAATCTACAAAGGGTGTCTACCAGATGGATTTTGTTAGGTGCTTAGAGTCAGTTCCGACCAACAGCAATCCTGTATAAGGTTTATGAGGAACGGCTGGTGAGCTTGACCCGCCCACCTTACAGTTCAAACCTTCAAACCGGCTTTTTAGTCCAGCACATTAACCCACAGCACCACATAACACTTTAAAAACAAAGTTTCCAAAGATTTCTTTAAGGACTTGGAGAAAGGGTTATGAATATCACAGAATGGTATCAATTTTTTTTAATCTAGAAAAGTCCAAAGGACAGCCGCTAAAATAGGGGTAAAATGTGATTATTTCTGGAATATGGGGAGGAGGGTTGACATTTCTGCTTTATACTTCTATTTTGTTTTAAGCAAAGTGGATGTACTACTTCGGAAGCTGGGAAATAGATTTTAACAGTTAAAAGGTGGATGAACTTAGGAAGTAATACTTGCTTAGCTAAGGAGCTCTGGTAGAGTAGTGGGTTACAAACTGGGTTGCTAACCATTAAGGTCAGCAGTTCAAACTTAGCCACTCTGCGGAAGAAACTTGACACTTTCTGCTCTCATAATGGTAGCCTTGGAAACGCTATGATGTTGCTAAGTGCCAACAAGAAACCGTATACAGGGTCACTATAAATCGGAACTGACTCCATGGCATATAACCACCAACACTCTTAGTGAAAAGCCTAGAGAGTCTGGTGGTGCAGTGATTAAAGCCGTTGGCTGGAAATGGAAAGGCAGTTTGAACCCAGCGCCCACTCTGGGGGAGAGAAAGATGTCTGTTCTGGGAAATTACAGCCTTGGAAACCGTAAGGGGACAGTTCCACTCTGTCCTATGGGGTCACTAGGCGTTGGAATCGACTCAGTGTCAGGGGGGACGTTAAAATCCACTCGACTTGCACTTCACAAGGGTGAAGAGTCTTGGAGCCTAGACTGAGGCCAGGCTGGGGGAATAGCATTCCTATCTGGCTTCCTCTCATCCGGAGCCGGGCAGAAGACAAAGCTCATCTTTTCACAAGGGTTACATTTCAGAAATGTTACCTGATCCAGCACTGTCATAGAACCAGTTGTGTCCTTATAAAACAGACATGGGACTTTTGACCTTTATCAAACTGGAAACCAAACAGACACCCGCGTCGAGTTCCGGGAGGGGAGAGAAAAGGCAAACACCAGCCTTGCAGCTTTATCACTTGGCCTCAGTGCCCTCTGTCAGAGAACTGAACTCCGTTGTTGGATCCATGAACAGGAGATTTATTTCCTTGTACAAAAAAGTATGTTTCAAGTCAGGCTACTCAATTACACTTGGGCGAGTCTTGCTCACATAAGAAATAGGGGTAGAAGAGGTGCTTCAGGTTGTACTCGGCTTGGGCTAAGCAATGAGCAACCTCCTGGTCACACTTGCACATGAGTTCCTGGCACTTGTTCTCCGTGGGTCCTGGAAAAGGTGGGGAAACTGAGGTTAGAACAGGGCCCTATGGAGACGTGAGGGAAAGCCAGGATAGAGAAAGGCAGGAAAGGCCGTAAACTGCGTTTGCAGGACACTACAGCTTTGGCACAGTGGGTTAAGCACCGGGCTACTAACTGAAAGGTCAGCTGTTCGAACCTACCAGTCGCTCCAAGGGAGAAAAATGAGCGATTTACAGTCTTGGAACATTCTACTCTGCCACTGTGGGGTTATGATGAGTCGGAACCGACTTCATGTCAGTGGGTTTGGGGGTGTTTTGGGGTTTTTTTTGCTCTTTTTATGTTTTGAGTACAGTTTACAAGGCGATTTTGATCCTCATCCTCATTTTACAGAAATGAACATTGAGGTTAGTTACAGGGAGGCATTTTCAAATGGAGAATCTAAAGTTTGTACGACCTTCGGCGGCTCTTATAAATCAGTATTCCTATTTCTCATTTGGGGATCTGTCGTGATTAAAACCAGCCAGGCCTGGGTTTGGAAAACCCTTTGCTAGCTGTGTTGCTGCCAAAAAATAGATGACCTCAACCATCCCACCTGGGGTATTCTCAAACTCAACTGGGTTTGTTGGTTCATTCCAACAGCCATTCAGAACTCAAGACACCATACTCAGTTATGGGGTTTACTAGGGAAGTTAAAAGGTTACAAATTCAGAGTCAGGAATGTTCAAGGCTCAGTTCTTCCAGTAGGATGTGCTCACAGGCAGCCTCTCTCTGACTCAGCCTGGCCTCTGCCCTTCTTCGGCAGTGTTACAAAGTTGATAAATGCCCAAAAGACATTCCACTCACTATACACCTCTGCCTAAAGGTGCTCTGCTCTGAGACCTATGGGTCAGCAAATGTAGCTCACCAATCAAGTGTAGCTCACCAATCAAGACACCCCAGTCTGCAAACAAGTTGGCCCAAAGGCACCCAGCTCAGAGAAGTCCGTCACTCCACCTCCGGCTGTGGGGGCCGGGGAGTCCGCCACTCCACCTCTGGCTCTATGGGCCGGGGAGTCCGCCAGGCCACCTCCTGCTCTGTGGGCAGGGGGAGTCCGACACTCCACCTCAGGCTCTGGCTCTGCTGCCGCTACACCTCTGCCACTCCTCTAGGGTGCCAGCTTTCTGCCCCTGGATAGAGGAGGGTCCATCTCTGGATCCAAAGGACACACTCCACTCCTGACTTTCTCTCTTTGATGGCAGTGAGATTCTTCCCCCCCCCCTTCTTGCTTCTGCGTTGGTTCATTTTATACACTTTTATTGGAGTGCCAGTGTTTTACAAACCCAGGTGACCCTGCTAACCATTCACAACTGAATCCCATCATCCTGTCAGCATCGTCTCCCACCTTCCCTTAACCAGACCCAGAAGGGCCAGAACGTTGTTTGATGGGAGTTATAAATACTATTGGTACATGACTTATATGAAGTAACTGCATTGCAGAGGCCTAGCCTAACCTTTCTGAGCCCTCATTTCAAACTGGGTGTTAGCAACTTGGCAGGGCATTTTTGGGAGGCATGGGTGAGAAAGCAAGGACTTGGTACAGGAGAGGCAATTCATGACCACCAATTCCACCGGAGTCCTGGTGTGGCGCTGTGGGTTAATGCGCCAGACTGCAAAGCCGATTGAACTGTAAGGTTTGCTGTTCAAGCTCACCAGCCACTCCTCGGAAACCCTTTATATGGTCACTATGGGTTGGCGTCAACTAGACAGTCAACAACAACACTCCCATCAAAATTTCTCTACATCTACCTCAAAACAAGGTGCTCTGGTAGCGTAGTGGGTTATGAGTTGGGCTATTAACTGCAAGGTCAGAAGTTCAAATCTACCAGCTGCTCCCACAAAGATGTACAGCCTCAGAAATCCTATACAGGGTCGCTATGAGTTGAACTGACTCGACGGCACATAACCACATCTTGAAAATGGAGCTCTGGTGGCATTGTGGGCTACTTGTTGGGCTGCTAACTGCAAGGCCAGCAGTTTGAATCTACCAGCCACTCCATGGGAGAAAAATAAGGCTTTCTACTCCTGTGGAGATTTATAGCTTAAGAAACTCTATGCTGGGGTGCTATGAGTTGAAACCGATTCGATGGCATACACCCACCAAGACTTCTTGAATGTCCTTAAAGAAAAAATAGCTTATTTTAGGTAACATGCAGTCCATTCCTCCCCTAGCCCCTTAAGTCTTGGCCTACATTACATAGAGATGCTAAGATATAAATCTCCTTCCCAGTGATTAACTTTGCAGTCTAGGGGCGGAGGTCCCTAGGACCATCAAGGGAGAAGAGCAGAGAGCAGGACCCTACCCAGAGAAGCAGTGATGCCTGAAATGGAAGCAGAGATGATGACGTGGAGCGATGGAGCAGCTGGAGACTTTAGATCCAGAGAGGGAGAGCGACTGTGTGCTGAAGACCTAGGGGGTACGGGGGAAGGATTGCAGGGTATATACCCTTTGGTTGGTCGATGATGCATGGAGGGGATTGTAACCATGGCAACGAGACGATATACGATAGAATGAATGTAAAACCAATGTTCTCCCATGTAAACTATCACATAATTCACAATAAAACATTTAAAAAATAATAAATCTCCTTCCCAGGAGCCCTGTTGGTGCTGTAGGATAAGCACTGAACTGCTAACGGCAAGACACGCAGTTCACACCCCACAGCCACTCTACAGGAGAAATGGGGCTGTCTGCTCCCATAAAGACGACAGCCTCGGGTGGCTGTGAGTCAAAACTGACCTGGTGGTGCCAGAGGTTTTTGAAGTCTTCTGAGCTGAGATTTCCACTATGAGACATTCCATTACTCTGGGTTGATAAGACTTTGTGATCTTCATCTCATATCTAACCTAGAAGTTATAATGCCTTAGATTGCTGTGGCTATATCATCCTAACCACAACAGCCCTGTCTTTTAGTGTGGGGTTTTTATTATGCACATAAATGAAAAGCAAAACAATATAAAATCTTTCCAAATTTCTCCAAGAAGTACCACGAAGACTCATGAGTTTGAAGTTTTCCAGCTTGGTCAGATTTAGTAACTGTATGTCTTCAGACACATTGGTAGTTGTGTGGTCAGTTCCAACTCATAATGACCCTGCCTATAAATTTTTATGGGAGCAGAAAGCCTCATCTTTCTCCTTTGGAATACCTGGTAGACTTGAACTGCTGACCTTGCGGTTAATAAACAACTTGTAACCCACTACGCTGCTTCACCCTATTCTGTGGTAAAATAGTAAGCAAAAACAGAGGCCATTTCTAAAGCCTGTTGGAAGATGAAAAGAAATCAAATCAACAACACACGGGGCATTCAGCAGTAAAAACTGCCTGCCAGTGTCTAAAGACTATCTCTTAAAATGTCAAGTTTCAAGGCTATTACTAGAAAAGCAAAGAGTAACAAGTGGAGATGTGGATGTGGAGAAATGAGCCCTCTCCCATGGCTGGTGGGAGGGTAAAATGGCGCACCCACTGTAGAAAAGTCTCTGGCTCTGTAAAATATTACGTGTAGAATTAATGACTCATCCATTCCGCTCCTATGGATTTACCCAAAAGAACTGAAAGCAGAAACACAAAACACTTGCATGCTAATATTGACTGAAGAATTATTCACAAGAGTCAAAGGTGGAAACAAAGTGTCCATCAGCAGATGAACATATAAACGGAAGTAGTATATTCATGTTAAATGCTGTTAAATGCTTTCTTTAGTGCTGTCCTTGGTCCAACTCACAGTGACTCTGGATAGGGTTTCCAGGGAGTGACTGGTGGGTTTGAACCGCCGACCTTGCAGTTAGCAGTCCAGTGCTGACCCTCCAGCGCCACACTAGGAACCACTGTTGTCAAATTGATACTTACTCAGCAACCCAAAAGCACTCCCCATATGTCTGCCACAGCCTGCTTCATCCTTCTCCTGCAGAGTGGCTGATGGGTTCGAACCACTGACCTTGTAGTTAGAAGTCGAGCGCTTAACCACTACACCACCAGGGCTTCTCTATATTGACACATTGGGATATTATTCAGCCATAACCAGAAATGAAGCTCTGATCTGTGCTAGGACATGGACAAACCTGCAAAACGTATGTATGTATGTAAGGTGCCGTCAAGTCAGTCCCAACTCATAGCGACCCTATGTAGGGATTCCAAGGTGCAGCTGGTGGATTTGAACTGCCAACCTTGTGGTTCAAATTCCTTTTATGTGGAGTCCTAGTGTGATGCTATAGGGTAAGCACTGGACCGCAAAGTTGGTTTGAATGCAAGGTCTATGGTTCAAATGCACCAACTGCTCCTTGGAAACACTGTACAGGGTTGCTGAGTCAAAACTGACTTGTTGGCACTAAACAACAACATTTGAAATTTCTAGAACAGAAAATGCAAAGAGTCACAAGTTGACCTGTGGTTACAAGGGGCTGGGGGTAGGGCAGGATGCTGAGTTATTGCTTAGGTGGGAAGGGTCTCTGCTTAGGGTGATAACATTTTTTTAGAAATAGATGGCACTTGACAACAACGATGGTTGCCCAGCATGGTGAATATAATGAACCTTACCGGATTGTACAAGGAGCTCCGGTAGCGTAGTGGTTACGAAACGGGCTGCGAACTGCAAGGTCAGCAGTTCGAAACTACCAGCTGTTCCACGGGAGAAAGATGAGGCTTTCTGCTCCCGTAAAGATTTACAGCCTCGGAAACCCTGTACAGGGTCGCTATGAGTCGGAACCGACTCCACGGCACATAACAACAACAACAACACTGGGTTGTACACTCCAGAGTACGGGCACAGTACTTTTTGGTGATTATAATTCGCCAGACCCACATCAAAAAAAAAAAAGCAAGCGTTCCTCGGAGACCCAGGGAGATAAAGCACGAGAACCGGAAGTTCGTCAGCCTCTCTCCTGGAAGACCCATGGACCATAGCAGAGACCTGGTATCACCAGGAGGGATGGGGTATCAGGCAGGGCCCTGACCCTGTGGTGAGCTCTCCCAGGTCCTGTACTGAGCGGAGCCA